GTCGGCATTCATTTCTCCTTCCATTCGCACCTCCTGGTTGTATTTCTCCATTTCTTCATTCCAACCGTTCCTTCCATTCACGCCATCCAACTTTGTCTCCGTCCATACATCTATCAATTACATGCTCCGCCATTTCAAGCTCCCCTCAGCCACAGGGTCATGGCAGCTTCGGCCTCAGGTTCAACTCGGCCCAATAAACTGAGAAGTTACCACACCGCTTAAGCAGTCGAACAGCCTTCCTCGACACATTCGAAGAATCAGTGTCACAGTCACCCGGTCGTACTATTTCCCCATTTCCGCTGGCATTCCTCCGTGATGCATTATTTCATCCTTCTTCTCTCTTCATTCTTACCATCGTTTTCCCTTACATTCCAAGTAACATTCTCTCTATCTATACCTTTCGTAGCCTGTTCATGGACCTTTCCATTACTCAAGTTGTTGTGGTTGTCATGTCCCTCCCACCATATAATGTGGGTCCGTGTCCCCCTCACACTCCTTCCTCCAATCATCCGCTGAATCAACGCCACCATTTTTGTTTTTCACTCAACCAACTTTCCTCCGTTCCATAGCCATGGCAGAATCGCTAACAACTACTCCACATGTCAATCGCTCTTTCTATTGCAATTAATTCGCCTCATTCACGCTACGTGTCCGGTAATCCTTTCATTCTCATTCAATCACCCTCATTCCGTTCATACGCCCAGCCAATGCCCATTTTTCCGTCCTCCAGGCTTGCTCCGGAATTCACATACACCTCAACCATTTTCTCGTCCTCCATTTTCTCCAGTAACATCCCTTGCATCCAGGGGAGTATCTTGTCTTCTCCTTCCACTCTCTCTCTCTTCAATCTTTTTTTCGTCAATCATTCTCCACTCTTGGCATCTGGTCCGAGCTTCGACGTGAAGTGGGGTATTACCTGAGATCACGCTGAGCTCATCCAACGGCGCCGTCCTTTAAGACGATCGGAAAGGGCCTTTGTGTCGCACTCAGCTGTCTTCTGAGTCCACTGTCATGCACTCTGCTCCCCCACAGTTGCACTCCTTATATAACCGCACTCAATCTCTCCTGAGTCCAATGTTACGCCTGGTCCATCTTCTCATTTTCCCTGCCAATACGCCTAGTTTTTTATTGCCTCCTTGTGGTGGTCTATGAAGAGTTCACCACAATTTTGGTCTCAATTTCTTTCATTCATTTTTATGACCAGAGGTCTGTGTTTGTACAGACGGTGAGAAATATATGCGCAGTTTTGAAACACAAATTAGATCATCTTTGGAATATCGCTCGTATATGGACCTTGATAGTCTGATAGAAAACGGAAAGATGGTTGGGGATTTTTGCGACCAATTTATTCCCGTTCGATAGTTTCAGGTATATTTCCTATAACTATATTATGAAGCATAGAGGACGTCATCTACGGCGTTACGGATGATTACAGAATATTACAGAAACTATCATATGGCAAGTATTAAGAAAATATTTTCTTTCAGCTACGAAGGGTAATCTATCATCAGGTTTTTTCTATTCTGTATTACGTCAACTATCACCTGATGAATTTTCAAGTAGCGAATGATCCAGGCAACACACTGTCATTAAGATTTTCTCTGAAGAGTTCAAAAACCCGTAACACGTGGTTGAAATGTAGACCGTTCCAGAGCTATAAGAGATCATCTAATCACTCGGCGTTGCTTAATGCCATTTGGGGTTCTTAGTTAACCGCAGACTATCTTTGATGGTTTTCGTTGACCTGAATATCGACTTCACGTTTTATTTCACCAGAACTTATCCGAACCGGTCGGTAACATGAGTCAATGGCAGGACAGCTTTTCCATTGCCCGTCCAGTATGTATTTTCATCGCATTCTCTTTTTTTTCTGGGTTGTATTGCTGCTGGAAATAGATATCGCTACACCTATTTCCTTTGAAAGCAATTTTCGAATGATCGAGTTTCTCGGAAAGACTCTCAGGTTCACTAAAGTTTCAATAACCCCCCCTCCCTTTTTTGTCAAGGCTGGTGGATTTGGAGTTTTTTAATCAGCTATATGTCTATGTGCGTTAATTTCCTGTTCACAGTATGACCCAATCCCCATCTTCATGTCTGTTCACTAGTTCATCCAAGTAGGCGATGGTTCTTTAGGTTTCCCGTTCCATTGTGAATTATATTTTTTGGGTTGAGGAAATTGATTTGCAAGAAATTCGCTCAATTGCTTAACCATGACGTTTCATATCTCCACGAGGATCTGAAACAAATTTTGATTGAGGTGTCTGAAAACAAGTAAAATATGACTGACTCAGACATGTTTTTGTCGATAGCTCTCCAGAAATTTGGAACACCATTTCGCATTTGCAACTTTTGAAGCTCAAATTATATCTTCTTTTGAATATTGCTTTCAAGCCTATCTTAAGGCTGCTAGATATTCTGTCCAGAAAAGAGCTATCCAGCTGAATGGAGAACCGAACGTAATAAGCAACCTTGATAGCTTGAAACTCAATAGGACGGTGGAAACTTGCTTCTTTTCTATAAGTACATTCACAGAGAGTGTTCGACTGACTTAGCCTGCTCAATTTCTTCACGAGAGATGTATTTCAGAAGTATCCCAGCAAACATGGTATTTTGCCATTTTGACATTCTACATGAAAAAAGTCAAATGTAAAGTGATATTGGTAATTTCTCTATGATCAATATCAACAAACTGGTCATTTTCTATCTGAAAGAAATGCTTTGCTTGCAGCCTACCTGATCGCCAACCCTTTGATGGAATATATCCGCGACAGCTGCGAGATTTAACGTATATATCTAGAACTAAACTTTTGGAGATCTTTCATTCTCGAGAACGGCTCCTAGAAGAATAATCTTCTAAAAGAGGTTTTTTCAAACGAATATCTGTAATCTACAGCGATTCAAAACCAACAATATCGGTTACTCTGTCACAGGCAAAGCTATCAGAGCGCAGTACATGCGCATCTCCATTAAATAATCGCTATCAGAGGATAAGAAGATTTCTGTAATGCTGATGAATACCTAACATGGGCTGAAAAGTCCCGGGCCTGGGCTTTATTAATCAGAGTATGTATGTATAGTAGGGAGGGTGAGTGTATACCCACAGTACTGAGGCCACATGTTGTCCTTCTAGATCATCGTCCATTCTGTCCTTTCCAGGAAGGTGGACAGGTCACTAGAAGACATCACCTTTATATCGGCAGGTCAAGACTCGCCGCAACCTTAAGGTATCTCATGGCGGCCTCCGCGAAGGTTCTGGAAGGTGCAGCGACATTACTGTCGTTGCGCGGCTTCTTCAACCTTCCTGGGGTTCCCCTAGTGGAGGTGTTCAAGTGAGGGCGCTTTCCTGCAGGGGCAGCCGGTTCCTTGCCTTTATTCAAGGCGGAGATCTTGGCGCCCGCCGCAGGAAGTGCCTTTGCTGTTGGAGGTGGAGTGGTAGAGGCGGTGGGTGCACTTAAGGGATCGTTCGTAATCGCATATCACCCTGCGGCTATTCAGCTGTCGGCACAATTCCCAACACCTTAGCTTGGGTAGGTTGGTCCACGGTGGCATTTTTCGCAAAGGCTTTTGGGGAGTTTCAGTTCCCCTCACCCTACTTATTTCTGCCACTAACCAGGAGTCCGGTGATCTCGTCCGTAAGGCCACATTGGCTTCCCGGACAGGGCCTCCAGTCACCTGGCCGTTCCCCTATCAGCCACCTGGGGAAGCGTCCAATAGGTAGCCCAACGCACAGGATTCATCAGAGTAATCGCCATCAAGAGCGACACAATCATTCCAACGCCGCTCTAACATTTAAATACCACTTTTGTAGAAAGTTTTTGCCTCAAAATAGGCCTCAGTTTCAGCAATAACCTCTTCCTTCGAGCGAAATTTCCTACCGGTGAGCATATTTTTGAGGTCTGTGAACAACCAGTAGTCGCTGGGAGCCAAATCTGGCGAATACGGTAGATGTAGAAGCAATTCAAAGTTCAATTCATGTAGTTTTGCCATTGTTTTGGTTGACTTGTGACACGGTGCGTTGTATTGATGAAACAATTTTTTTTTCTTTGACGTATGCGGCCGTTTCTTTGCAATTTCAGCCTTCAAACGCTCCAATAACGGTATATAAAATACACTGTTGATGGTATTTCAGTTCTCAAGATAGTCGATGAATATTATACCACGCATATCCCAAAATATCGAGGCCATATCCTTTCCAACCAGTTGTTGTGCTTTCGACCGCTTTAGACGAGGTTCAACAGTTGCTCTCCACTCAGATGACGATCGTTTTGATTCCGATGTGAAGTGATGGATCCATGTTTCATCCATTGTTACATATCGACGTAAAAATTCCGGTTTGTTGTGTTAGCACAATAACTCACAAACTTATAACTAGAATATCATGAAATTTCAACAGTTTTCTTTTGAAGGTTAGTACTAACTGAAAAAGCGGTGAATGTAATACGCCATCTATGTGTTAGGCCCGAGACTATTTAGCCCAGGTATCTACCAACATGGTTAATAACTCTAACTCAGTTGAAAAATTTTGTTCTACCACGTTTTGCAAATAATTCATTTATATCATATAGAGAATCAACGTAACTATTAATTCAGATTTTTTTCACTTTTATATTCAGAAAGGCAGATTTTAACCTGAATCTCAGAGGTATCTGTATTTTTATTTCTATTCATGTAACTACACATTATTATGGTGTCTCCAAGAAGTGTAAAAACAATTGAAACTGGTGAGGGGTTGATAACCCTCTCCTCATACACCTTGTGTATTCTTGCATATTTATTAAAAACTTGAAATAAATCAGTTTCCGCGTGTAACAGTGAGCGTCACTGCCGGTTCTTCCTGTATCATAGAGTAATCCGTGACAGCATAACCTAGAAAAAACTCTAAGATATCCACCGCGGGTTTTACCAACCGTTCGTCTCGAAAAATGCAAGCCACATTCGAATCCAGCGTTGTTAAGTTAAATTAGAATATTCCCAGAACTCCATTCATGAATCAGTAGGCTATGATCGCCAAACGCAAACGTGGTGATGATTCAACATCTCTTCGCAGTACATCCAACGATCGCGGGCAGTTCGCATCGAAGAAACCATGCGAAAAAAACTGCATTCGCTCGATTTTTCACGAATTGAACACATCTGAACTTTTGAAGCATCTGTTAAGTTCCCGCGTTACGCATCGAGAAAGCCGCGAAAAAACCAATGAGGCCGAGAAGACGCCGAAGAAGCATGAGTCATCTCAGGAGACTGCGACCGATACACATGAAAACTTCATGACTAAACCCGCTTTTTGCTCGTTAATTTCTGATGATAAACGATCAGTTGCCGGTGATTCCGACATTTCCTATTTCTCTTTCGCGTCCGGTGGAAGTTACGGTGCGAATTTGCCCTCTTTTTTGGAGGTTAAACATGGAAGAATGGACAAACCGTGCGATGGGCAAAACAAAAGTGACAATATCCACAGCCACCTGTTCCCAAACGAAGTACAAAGCTACAGAAGCGTTTTGCAGAGGAATTCCAGTGAGGAAAGTGCTCGATCTGAGGATTTTTCACGCGCAAGTTCGCCTTTGTCGTCGAATATTTTGGCATCGGACACATTGGACTTTATTTTGTATGGCGCCGAGAAGGAATTGTGTATACAATCGCCTCCTCAGAGCCAAAACGATCCCGGTGAGTGTGACGTCACTGCAGAATTCGCCGAGTTGGTGCCTTTCGGGAATGAACCGACGGAAATGGAAACTTCAGACTTTTCACCAGTGGCGTCCGGTTCCGGTATTTCGAGTGAAGTGAACGAAACTGCGAAGGAAAGGTGTACGAATTATTCTGATCAAAATGACAGTAGTTCCGGTGATGAAGATGTCGACAGTGCTATGGTTTTAGTTCCTACTGGTGAGTTATTTAATTTTTGTTATTTGCAATATATAGTTTTCAGCTTCATCGAAATGACGATATTTACTGAAATTCTGTTCCATTCACCAACTGTTCCAACAACAAAAATTCATCAATATTCTGAGAAAATCAAGACATCGTTTCACCAGTTGATGATGCAAAGGTCAAATATGGTCACTGGTCACGTTTCTGACATTCAATCAACTACGTATGTTTTTTCCACAGTCGGTTCTCTAACAGTTCTTGCACCTATTTTTATAATATAATTACATTATTGAGATGACTTATATATAATTATCATGTACCTACTCTATGAATATTTTGGTGAACCAATCTTTGAAAAATATTTTACAACAGATATGAATACTCAATTGTGGGTCACCATCTTGTATTTTTGGTTTTCAACTCAATTATTATATTGAGTGTCTAAATTCAAAATTTCAAGCAGATACCTATCCTTTCTTGAAATTTCTGGCTTGGAGATCCAATAGAACGTATTTCACTTGAAAATGAGGAATGTTATACTATTGGTTACACTTGCTTTCGAAATTATTTTTAACCTATTTGTATATTTTTTTATGCTCCTTCAAGTGTTCCTTGAATGCTGCAAGAATGTTTATATGTCTACGAGTCAAATACACTATTCAATGTCTAATGTCACTACTCCACTCTTTTTTTTTGATATTATACCTATAATTATTCAATAACCATACACGATGAAAGAACACCCACGCCCAGGCA